GGTTAGAACTTCGGAGTTCAAGGCTGGTTTGTTATATTAGCAAAAGATTATGCTATGGTCATATGTCGCAGGGCTGACTCATTACTATTTCTCTTGCACTGACCTTAGTAATGATATGTTTAGGATCTCGCAGTGGGCCCGCTGGGGACTGAAGTACTGGCCTCAAGGCTTTGAATCCTCGAGGCTTGCTGCGGCGCAGGGTGGAGGCATTGATCTGCAATCTGGATTAGGTTCTTTTGGGACGTAGACTGTAGCCGATGCTGTCATCATAATCGTAGTCGTTGTCGACACTGCAGTACTGGGAGGGTGGGCATACATTGTGAAGTTCAGAAGTGCTCACCATGACGTTGTCGCTGTCCTCCCACTCATCGTCATTGACGTAACTAGACCAATGGCGACTACGACGACGACTGCTACTACTGCTGCTACTGCTACTACTACTGCTGCTACTGCTACTGCCACTGCCACTGCAACTGCCACTGCCACTGCCACTGCCACTGCTACTGCTACTAGTACTACTACTTCTACTACTACTACTACTACTACTACTACTACTACTACTACTACTAGTACTAGAACTGCTGCTGCTGCTGCTACTACTACTACTACTGCTACTACTAGCTACTACTTCTACTACTACTACTACTACCACTACTACTGCTACTACTACTACTACTACTGCTGCTACGACTGCTACTGCTACTGCTACTGCTACTGCTACTACTACTACTACTACTACGACTACTACGACTACTACTACTACTACTACTACTACTACTACTACTACTACTACTATAACAACAACAACTACTACTACTACTACTACTACTACTACTACTACTACTACTACTACTACTACGACTACTACTACTACTGCTAGTACTACCACTACTACTACTCCTACTGTCCTACTGCTACTGCTACTGCTACTACTACTTATGACTACTACGACTACGACTCCGACGACTACTAGTACCATAACTACTGCTATTGCTTTTGCTGATACTTTTGCTCATACCACTGCATCATGCTGCTGCTGCTGCTGCTGCCGCTGCTGCTGCTGCCGCTGCTGCTGCCGCTGCTGCCGCTGCTGCCGCTGCTGCTGCTGCTGTCAGACAGCGACGTGCAGTTGAGCAATTTTGCGGCCAATCAGCCTAGACACGTCAAGATCCGCGGTGGACCCGCTTCTGGGTAGATGTAAACCCATGTCTAGACAGCTAGGAGTTCCCGAACAGGAAACCCGACAAGCAGAGTCAAGTAAATTTGTCAGGATCCTGCTCAAGGGCGTTAAGGTAGCTGCAAAGCTGCTGATTCTCAGGAGCTTCTGCGATGCAAAACATTGCAAAGAAAGGAAAACGAGCACATTGCAAGCTTCGAATTCATCCAAGCCTGCTTCTAGCAAGACAGGCGGGGAAGGAACTTGATTTCAGAGGCGGCACACCGCCGGGCTGTTCTACATGTCTGCGCTCCGCGCGAGCTCATGGGATGTACCCATCAGGCCCTTGCATCCACAAAACTAACCATGACCATGCTCGCTGAACATGTAAGAAATGTAAGCCTTTTTCCAATACCCGATTTCTTACACGTACCCATGACTACTTAGACGTTTACATGTGTACATATAAGCCTGTGCAGGAATAGACAATGCGGCCTACTTCACGTACATACAGAAACAAACCAATGCTCATATCTGCAAATACACAGAATGGAGGGACGTACCATGCATGAATTTATCCATGCATGTATCACGCACATGCCCGTGTGTGCTGCGTAAACAATCCGCTTTTTTGCATGTGCACATGTGCATGCCGCGTGTCTTTATGTCTTTGTGTCTGTCGGTCTGTCTGTCTGGCGGCGTCTGTCTGTCTGTCTGTCTGTCTGTCTGTCTTGTCTGTCTTGTCTGTCTTGTCTGTCTTGTCTGTCTTGTCTGTCTTGTCTGTCTTGTGTGTCTTGTCTGTCTTGTCTGTCTTGTCTTTCTTGTCTGTCTTGTCTGTGTTGCTGTGTTGTCTGTCTTGTCTGTCTTGTCTGTCTCGACTGTCTTGTCTGTCTTGTCTGTCTTGTCTGTCTTGCTGTCATTCCGTCTGTCTGTCTGTCTGCTTGTCTGTCTGTTTGTCTGCGTGTGTCCCTATGAAATTACCTAAGTACGCAGGTATTTACCTATGTACGCAGGTATGTAGGTATGTATGTGTGTGCGTAGGTATGTATGCATGCATGCATGCATGCATGTAAATACGTGTGTGCACCTTGTTTGTGGAAGTGAGTAAGTAAGCAAGCAAGGAAGGGAGAAAGCAAGTGAGTAGAATTGCATGCACTAAGCCTGCATTCATGTAGGTGTGCAGGTACGTAAGTAAGTATGTAGGTAGGTATGTGGGTTTGCTTGGTTGCTTACGTGTTTGTTTGTACTTACATGCATGCGCATGAACTTTTGTGTGCATAGCTGAATATGTCTAACCGGTATGTGTGTGTGGTCGGATGAGCTTGAGTTTACCATAGTTTTCCTTTGTGTGTGAGGAGAGTATTTGTGCATATGTATATATATATATATATATAGATACATATATATATATATATATATATACGTGCGGGCGCCCATGCTGCAGGCAAGCATGCATGTGCAGATGGCATGTGCACACCAACGCGGCTGAGCAGGTACGTATGGAAGCGCATGGTGAATGGTTTGCGTGTGCACATCGCTGGTGAGATGCCACATGTGTACCAGAGAGCCTACAGAATACAGAGCATATATGATTATTCATAACCTCATTATGTATACACGTGTATACGGTGTGTATATCTACCCATACATTGACATTGTACATACGTTTTGCCTACCTGTGTGCTTGTACAAGCGAGAGAGAGAGAGAGAGAGAGAGAGAGAGAGAGAGAGAGAGAGAGAGACAGAGAGAGAGAGAGAGAGAGAAAAAACAAAAACAAAAGTGTGCGCAAGTCTGCTTCTGCATGCGCAGAGGTGCTTTTAGGTAATTCATTAATTCATTTACAGGTACTGACATACACGCGGCTGTGCTTATACACCTGCGCTACAAGCGAAGCACTGTGTGCATATGCAAACAAAGACGAAGGCAGTACCTAAAATAATGAGAGAGCACGAAGGAGACTGAGAGGGAAAACTGAATGAATATATGCACACCCACATCCGAAGGACAAATACATGCACATCCGCATCCAACTGTGTATGTAGTATGTATTCTATGGGGACGGTCAGGAATTACCACGATCTTTGCCCGATTTCCGTTACTGACTTCTCTGGATTGCAAGGAGCTCCAGTGGAAAAGCGGGTCGAGCTGACAGCCCAAGAGACGACCTCAACCGATAGGCCCTGACAACGAAGCGAGCTCCACCAGTTCAATACTCGCTACTGCATCACCGCAATCAAACTAGTCCAAAGATGCTCTTCTGATCATCGCATTACTCATTACGCTTGCCTTTGGCTACTAGTACGAGCTCTTTTGATCAGACGGTTTGTCTTGGAACTTCTTCAGGAGGAACATCATGTCTGTATTCGAAGAATTTCATTGAAAAATATGATGAAGCTGATAACGCGGGAAACTAAAGAAAAAGCAAACATGCTGATACATCTCGTGAAGGTGTAGGCTTTGCGGCTTCAGAATAAAGTCCTCCTTGAACCCCAGAACGATAAAGTCCCGTGTAGGCCCGCTTTTCATTGTCGGGTGCAGCCTTTGGCTCGGAGTCTCACTGAATCCGCTTTTCGCTGAGACAGCAAAATGATAAAAACTGCCTGGCCAACCTCCGGCCCGAGGCATCCTTAAAGGTCAGGTTTAGGGTTTAGGGTTTGGGGTTTAGGGTTTGGGGTTTGGGGTTTAGGGTTTAGGGTTTAGGTCCTTGAAGCGATTGCTCTCAAGCGTTCAATGAGGGTTCGCAGACGGGAGTAGTATCGGCAGTATAGCCGCCTTCAGAATAAGGCTGAGGTTTTTGTGGTCCACTATGGTATATGTAGTTGTATTTCGGACCGGAATCGTACCGTACATTATTCAAACGTCCGATTTTAGGGGTTTAGGGTTCAGAGCTTCAGGATAAAACCATGCAAGTACCTCTTCCAGCAAAATTTGTATAGGGTTTAGGGTAGTATACTTCAGAGTGCGCTTTCTGGTCATACGGTTGATGATATAAATCCTGCATTACCCATAACAAGGAATATACCATAATTCCCATAGCTTAGGGACCTTAAGGTAATGCAGGATTTATATCATCAACCGTAGCATCCCCTTGAAGTTCTGAGAGTCCCTACGTAGGATAGCTTGCGGTCGACGGATGCATTTCAGGTTGGCCAAATTGACACCACAGATCGACGTGTCCCAGAGAGCCCAATACCACTTAACTCTGGAGTCTACCTTCTTTTTGGAAGATTTTGAAAGTCTTGATGAGGATTTCCATAGTTGTCTAGGGATCTTTTCATGAGGAATATGCCTTCTATATAGGGGCTTAATTTGACGCTTTCCGGTCTATTCCTTACTTGAGGATGGAATGGGCTCGCTGGGTTCGGCGTCGGATCTGGTCTAATGTTTGAATTCCAGCACTCGTCACGTAAGCGTCGGGTTCAGCGCTACCAGCAACTGTTCTATCTGGGCATAAGGGTACAAGGGCTTTGATAGAAGCTATTATGCTACAAGGATTTGGAGTTTGGTTTATTATTTATAATAACATTACATCATCAATTAACTTGCATGTAAATTTTCCAAAAAAAAACAGGGTTGTTGGGATTGCGGAGTTTCAGGGAAAGATCTAAGGGCCCTGCCCAGCTAGACCTCACGGCTACGGCGGCTGCAGGTTGAGGCTGTGGGGTTGATTTGGGCTGAGGCTTGATGTGAAGATCGCCCCAACCTGGACCCCAAAAGTATGTAGAATAATAGCCTTTTATAGTAGGCCTTGGGCCATTACTTTACCTACTTACTTTGGGTGGTCTAGGAAGACCCGAAGCCGAAGTCGCCGAAGCCCTAGGCCTACGTTGAAAAGCGCCGAGCTCAGTTTGCTGACACTTGGACCCGATCGACCCGATCAGCCATACTGCAGCTGCAACAGAAGGAAAACCAGGAGGAGTGTGTTCGCCCCGAAGCCTCATACTGACAGGATCATGGGACTTAGTAAGTAGGGTTAGAATTAGGGTAACTATACCTATTACAAGTTAAGGTACTTATAACCTTACTTACTAGGTCCCATGATCCTCCACGAGTTGCTTTAGGGTTTGGGACTTTTGCGTACAGGGCTTCTGGAAGATAGGAGATTCGGTTGTCTGGGGGGTTGGGCTCCAGGCTCCATCACAGATTGCTACTCGTAACTAGTTTACTAATACTTATTCAGTTTCTCAATGGGGATCGATCCCGGAACATGGCGGACCTGTGCTGCAATGCTAGGAAGCATTCGACCCTAAGCAAAAGCGGCGAACACTCAGAGCGTCAACCCTCAACCGACTATCCCAACAATCCAACAGCCCTCAACTCTGAGCACCAAAAACTTAGAGCAAACTCCTGAGCCATCCACCCTAAACTCGGGTGTGTTACACAACTCTATCTAAATATTTACGACTAGGAAAACGACAGCGAGTCAGAACTAAACGAATTGTAGCAAGACTACCCAGCTCCCAAGCGGATGGTGGGTTGTCTATGCCCTACTCAAGAACCAATACAGGAGCGCCTCTGATAATCCTCCATGACTCCGAAACTCGAAACCCAAAACCCAAGACCCCAAACCCAAACCGTACACTCTAAATTCTAAATCCTACACCCAACACCCCAAAACCCCACAGGCCCAAAACCCAACAGGCCCAAAACCCAAACCCTAAACTCCAACCCCTAAAAGGCACACAAAACAAGAACAACACTAACTCCTAAACTCTGCCCAGGGACTTGCTCCAAGGGCTTCACGTGCCGCGGTTTGACGCCAGGAAGTCGCAGGCCGCCTCGCGAGGGTTCGGGCTTCTTGTTGGGAGTTGAGTTTCAGAGCTTAGGATGTAGGGTTTAGGAGTTAGGGTTTAGGAGTTAGGGTTTAGGATTTAGGGTTTAAGGTTTAAATTAAGGATTTCGGGTTAGGGCTCTTGTTCAGAGCTGAGTTTGAAGGAGTTTGTGGACTGGGGCTAGCTCTTCTATGTTTCAGGGGGTTTAGGGATGTAGAATTGTTTTGGTTTGCCCCTTCAAAAGCCGGCACGAACCCCCAAGAAATCCTTTTAAAGGAACCCCGGAGCTTAGGGATTTAGGTTCTTTCGCCTTCCTGGCTATAACTGTCAGACAGTGTAACATACACACAAACCCAAATTATTCGACTCATCAAGACCCCCATATTTAGACCCCCCCCACCTAATTACCCTCTAATACACCCTAAATGCCGGCTGTCAGGCACCATCAGAGCTCCATTAAAAGGGCCATTGGGGGAAGGTGGGTCCTGGCACTACTTATCCCATCCATAGCAAAGCTGCCGAGCCTGAGAACCTACAGCCGCCGCTCCCCTGAGCTTCATGCAGGCATATACATTTCAAGGTTTAGGGTTTAGGGGTTAGCATAATATTAGGGGCCTGAATAAGTAGAATAGGGTTTTGAGGTATATTACAGTCATAACATGGATCCCCGAAAATAGTAAGGCAAGTACTAAGGCCCCTGTTACCGCATACTGGTTAGGCTTTCCATGGCAAAAACCGGCTCAAACCCTGTACTGAGGCTCGCTGGCAGCTGCTGCGACTCTCAATTGCTTATTGATGTGGGAGTTTCCGAAAATTAGGGGTACCTTGTTTTGGGGTCCTTGCAATACCCTATTTTCGGAAACTCCCACGTGTGTGTTATGATTAGTGTCCTGATTGTCAATCTGACTTTTGATGCATTGCTGGCATGACTGTTGTCCTTACGAACCTTGCCACTAGCATTATTCAACCAACTGTCATTATGAGAATGTTCAAACCTGGTCGCTATGCATTCTTGACGCTCCTGGGATGTAGACCTGAATCCCAAACAACCTCTGTCCTAAACGGAAACGGTTTTCGTGTATAGGCTTTGGCGATCCGCATCCCTGAACCCGGAATCCCTATGAACCCTTCAGCCGAAACCCAAAACCCTAAACCTTAAATCCTAAACCCTAAACTTTAAACTCTAAACCCTAACCTAAATCTTAAAACCCGAACGTTAAACCCTAAACCCCAAACCCGATGGTCGTGCCTGAAACACGGCTGGACACATGATCCCTCAAGAGCCGCAAGCAGCTGCGCCCAGGCAACTGGCCGTCGGTTGAAGGGTTTAGAGTTTAGGGTTTTAAGGTTTAGGGTTTATAGGGGTTTAGGGTTAAGGGGTGTGGGTTTGTGGGTTGCGTTCAAGGCTTGAGCGTTCTTTGTCAGGTGCATGGCAGGGTTCCTGGGTGTGGTGTAGTTTGCTGGCTATGCTTTTTCCGTCAGAGGTAACCGAACCGAAAAGATCGAAAGCAGCCCGGATACAGAACGCTGTCCTTGACCAGTGCATTTTTGGCAGCAGATTCTGATCCGCACGAAACACCATGGCTAAATCAGCAGGTGTGAGCATGATCTTGTGATCCTGCACTTTCGGAGCTGCTATCCAAGGGTAAAAGGAGGGACCCTTAATAAGGACTCGTAGGTATATATTATATACCCTTAATATAGCCATTATATACCCATTATATAGCCCATTATAGGGTAAGGGTCCCATTAAGGGTCCCTCCTTTTCCCCTTTGATGCTATGGAAAAAGCATGGCCGGGTTGCTGTTGTGGTCGCCGTCATAGTGGTAGCTGTAGCAGTAGGAGGAGTGCTAGGAGTGATAGGAGACGGTTTTGATGGATGGCCGAATTCATCAAAGCTTTGCCCACAAACCCTAAACACCATCCTAAATTGTAAGCCCTCAAAAGCCCTAAGCCCTTAACTGCCCCTGGCCTTTTTAATCGCGGTCTTGTAGTGGCTTGCAGAAAGGGGGCGGCGCTGAACTTTCCCGAAGGACTTCGCACAACACCTTCACCGGGAGCTTGGGTTGAACTTTAAAGAGGTGGGAATCAGCGGTGCCATGAAACGTTACGAAGTTGATGAAGTTATACAGGAGTCTAGAAACTATAGAGTGTTGTGAAGTTGAGGTTTGGGGTTTACAAGGACTGCAGCGGGATTGGGGCGTGCTTGCTTCAGATTGGGACATGACGTAACCCCTAAATTATACGCCCTAAACACTTAAAGCCGTCTTGGAGGGCACGATTCAGGTTCGGGGTTCGGTGTGGTTTGGCATTCAGGCTTGATGGCAGCCTTCATATGCACTTGCTCCGTACTATAGTAACCTTGAAAGGAACCCTTACTCCACCCTGAAAGGAAGCCTGAAAGTGAAACCGCCCCGAATTCCGACTCCCCACATAGTAACATGTTGTAGCCCTTATAGCAGCCCTTGCACCTTACAGTAACCCTCATGCATTCTGGACCCTTAGAGTAACCCAAACCCCAGAGGGAACGCGAAACATTAACCCCTGTTTGAAGATCATAGTTTATTTCCTGATAACCCGAATTAAGAAGATTATAACCTGACTTACTACGTCCCAGGATCTTCCAAGTAGCCCCTAAATCGTGGCCCCAAAACCTGCTCTCTCCCTTCAAGACCGCCTGCAGAAGGCCGTGCAGGAAGCCACGCAAGTGGAAGGATCCTCCCGGGCAGTCGCGCTCTAAACCCTCTCCCCCAAAAGTACCGGAGGATGGTTGTCAAAATTATGGTCCCTCTTTGGGTCCCTGTTATAGTACGGCACCTAATATTTAGGGTACCCAAAAAGGGACCCTAATTTTGACAACCACCCCGGAGTTGTCCTAAAACCGTTGTTTCGAAACTACACTGGCGCGCACACGCTGTGTCGTTGTAGGAGCGAGAGTTTGCCGGTGGGAGTTGGCGCCGCGAAAGCTGCCCAAGGAAAGTCATGACCATGCACAGCGAAAGCTGTGGAGAAAGCGTCAAACTTGCATGCGATATAGGTGTTTACAGTGCGACTTCCACTACATGCACGAGTCCATGAGAACTTTGTTTCATCGTCTTTGCTTCTGCTTGTAGTACGACGGCGACAGCCAGTCGTTCTGGTCCTAATTGTAGTGCTCGTCGTCGTGGTAGGTGGTGCTAGTGGTGCCGGTGTGCAGCAGCTGCTGCTGCCGGTTCTGGTGCTGATGCTGGTGCTGCTGATGATCAGAATAACAATAACAAGAATGAGAAAAATAGTGGTAATGATAGCAATATCGGAATGAATGCCACTTCTACAATATACTCAAAGTACCCTGTCCCTGAACCCGAAACATCCTCAGAACCAGTACGAAGACTCTACAGCCGAAACCCCACGTCTCCTGCGCCATCGCCTTGAGTTTATGGAAGTCGGCCTCATCTTCAAAGGATTTTGCTTTCTGAGGGTTGGGTTTAGGGTTTAGGGTTTAGGGTTTAGGGTTTTGGGCATTCAAGTTTTTTTCGTGGAGCTCTTATCTTAGGGTTTAGGGTTTAAGGGCTTGGGGGTTTAGGGTTCAGGAGCTCGTTTTTCAGGGCTTCTTTTCCTAGGGCCTTGGGGCCTGTAGGCCTTTCAGATATCAAGGTAAGCCGAGTTGCCAGAAGCTCAGATAAGGCCTCATACTGCATGAACTTCCCGTGATGAACTGGGCAGACAGGGACGACCAAAGCTTCCACTTCCACCATGTTGTTGAAGCTGACGCTTCCCGCTGTACCGGCTGCATCCTGTCGAGACGTTTCATGCGCGTCTGCACGAGAAGACAACTGTTCAGACAGAATCTTCGAGTTGTCAGGCATTCGTTCGGCTGCTGACAGGTATGAACTAGGGCAGCGATCGCTTGTTCCTTCAGGGCATTGCAGTCCTTCCCCACCAGGATCTACATGGATCTACTATGGAAAGGCTCTAGCTCGAAATCCTGCAGCAGACCGCTGCAACACCAACACATACACCCTGCATCCCAATCCTGATCTTGATCTTGGGTACTGCCCCCATACAGTAACAGTGTATAATAGCGCTGTTTAAGGTAACTGTTACTGAGTGGGGGCAGTACCCAATCCTTGTCTTATATATATATATATATATATATATATATATATATATATATATACATACATATATATATACATACATAAACAAATATATATATATATATATATATATCAGCCTGAGAACCGAACCCTGAGCCTGAACTGGGATCCTCGAACCCTGTTCCCGAAACCATCCAAACTCGAGCCCGAAACCACATCCCGCAGGCCTTCTGCGCCACAGGAGACAGCGAGCTTTCCTTTCGCTCAAGTCTCTTTGGGCCCGTCACAGCAACAATTCTGAATCTAGAGCTGCTGCCTTTCGTCAGCTGCTGCCTTTCGTCTGGAACGGTTCCCAATAAATGAGCAGAATCTGATGCATATATGCATACATATATGTACATATATATATATATATATGTGTGTTTATTCATTTGCTGACACATATATAAGGATGTATGTATGTATGTATGTATGCTATGTGTGTACGTTGTGTGTCTATGTCTGTGTGTCTCTGTGTGTATGTGTGTGTGTGTGCATGTGTGTAGGCGTATAGGTGTATGTGTGTATGTGTGTACTTGTGTGTACTTGTGTATGTGTATGTGTACATGTACGTATGTATGCATGCATGTATGTGCTTGCATCTGTGTCTGTATCTGTATATGCATATGTATGTGCATGTGCATGTGTATGATGTGTATTAAGTATATTATGCATGCATTTATATGGTACGTATTTCATACAGATGTATATATAGTTATATATATATATATATATGTACACAGGTAGAAATTACGTGCGCGATTACATAACATAAGTACATATGTGTCGAATACTTCTGTCAGTCTAGTCTCATTGTTAAAGCTATGGTAGCAGTCGCAGTGGCAGCAGCAGCATCAGCGCCAGCACATGCAAAAGGCAAAAGTAGTATACGGCACCAGTGCAGCAGCAGCAACAGCAGCAGCGGCGGTAGCAGCAGCCTAGCGTCAGTAAGTCGCAGTAGCAGTTGCCGGTTTAGTTGGAGTTGCCGCATGGCTTGGAATCAAAAGCTTTGCTGGCCTAGCCGTTTAGGGTTTAGGGGTTTAGGGTTTAGGCCTTTGCAAGCCTGGGTTGTTCTCTGACTGTAGGAGGACTCATCGGGCCTGCTACACCGGCCACTTCAAAATTCCAAGCCCTCAACTTCCATCCTACACTCCCAGACGCCTGGGCTCAGGTCCCTGAACCCGGAGGTCTCTTAAACCAGCACAACCCTCAAAATCTAACAAAAACACGTTGCAAAGCTCTCCTTCGACATTCCATCGGAGGTTATGCCCGCATGGCTGGAAAACATGCGGCGGAAGCCTCAAAGTCAAACGGCAAGAGCTTTGGCTATCTGAGAGTGTAGGCTCTGAGTTTAGGGCCTCGGTCTTGTGGGGCTGGTATAGGAGTTTGCAAGTCCTAGCTGGACTGATGTGGCGTATGTGGTCCAGGGAGTCTAAGGTTACGGTGTGGTGGTGCTCAGGTTGCAGGCGTGCTTGGCCTATAATTCCGATACAAGTCCAGAAACGAACATGAAGAAGTCCCGAAAAGACCTGCCAGCATTTGCGATGCCTTTCCAGGGCCTCACATGTGTAGAGCGCTAAGCCGGGCGTCCGAAAACCAAACCCCAACACCGAAAAACACTAGCGACCTCTGCCCTACTCAAGACCCAAACCCAAGATGAAGCTGAATGCTGAAGGCAACTATATGTATCGCAGTTCGATGTCAGTGCTGCTGACAGTGTGGAAGGCATTGAACGACAGAGAGAGATACTGGGCAGTGTTGTGGTTGCTGCTCTTACTTCCACAAACCCAACCTCGCTATCATGTGCCCCTACTCCAAAAGCCCTATCAAATTATGTGGTACACTACTTTCATGCATATCATTTTCTTATTATAACATACCGTTAGACTGTCATACTCTACCATGTTAGTAAAATCCTCTACCAAGCCACGATCAGGCCGTGGCTTGCTGCTGTTGAACTCCAGCTGCGACAGAAGCCCGGCGGCGCACAGGGACTGCACAAACTCGTGGGATGAGATCTCGCAGCCTCAGCCATGAGATTCGAGTTCAGGAGTTGGGGCTTAGGGGCTGCTTTCAACGTCGGCCTTGTGGCCCAGCGTTTAGGGCTAAGGTTTAGGGCTTGGACTAAGAGTTTAGAGTTCAGGGCATGGGTTAAGGGTTACAGTTGAGGGTTGAGGCAGCCGCAGAAGGAAGTGATCCCTTGGTGGCCTCCTGACACTCAACTGACCTGGTCATGTCTGATACTCGGCATGGGGGTTAGGGATTTCGGGTTTGGGGCCTTGGGCTACATGTTCGCGACGCCATGGGCGTTGCCGAATATAGGGCTCATATAGCACCCTAGATCCTTATAAGGACCCCCAAACTTAGGCACCCCTCATTTTCGAAGACTCCCCCATAAGTTCCATCCTCTGGGAGACTTCGATCTCTCGAGGACAAGCAGGACATGACTGCTGTCAGTATTCGGGTAGATACCTAAATTAGGAGCCCTTTTTTTAAGTCCGCAACATCAGGATCCCTAGCCAGGTCCCCACAGATTGGGATCCTGTCTTTGGGCCCCCAAAAGTACGGCACCCTGCTAAACAGAGCCCTAAACGATCGAGTCCCTAGTTTTCACAATTGCCCATGTAGGAGAGAGTCTGCTTCATGACTGCAACCTCTTGAGTTGAAGGCTTTAAAGGACGGAGCCCCCCTTCTACCTCCACCACTGCCACCACAACTACTACCACTGCCATTACGGGGAGTCGTAGGAGCAGCTGCTGCTGGGTTGTGCTGTAGCGTACCGTGCTTGCGCCTTGTGGACTCAGTTATTACCCAAAGACTCCATGTACCCATATCGTGGATACTTAGGCCTTAAAGTACCTATACAGGGACCCCTTCAAGGCCCAAGTACCTGTATACTATATGGGCACATGGAGCCTTAGGGTTAGCCTCTGGGTCTTTGTATTGCAGTATTGCAGCTGTTCCAAAAGCTGAAACGTCGGCTGCAAAAGATGGGCCCAGGGTGCAGGCTGCTAAAGAACTACCAAAGGCTAAGCATAAACTGGAAAGAGAACCCGACATCCGCTTGAGGCTTTCAGTACCGAGGTTAGAGCAGCATAGGGGCAAACAATTTACCGATACTGTACTAGTCTGGGTTTCTTAGCATAACTATACCGGAAAAGCCCACTCAATTTATGAAGAACCCTATATTTCCTGCGGTTGTGGTGCATGGGTTGCGAAGCTGCCGGTCGTTTGCCTCCTCGTAGACGACCACGTGTCGGAACGGACCTCAGCTGATCCGAAGGCCTCGAAGTGATCTATTCGGGGTTCCTCTAAGGGTCCCTTTTATGGGATCTGTGGGGGTTCCATGAAGGGTCCTTTTTATGGGATCTGTAGGGGTTCCTGAGAAGTTCGACTGCGGCGATCTCTGGAACGTTCGCCTCTTCGAAGCACGGCCTGATGAGCGTCTCGCAAAGCTGCGCTTTCTCGACGTCGACTGCAACTTTTATGGGATCGCTAGGGGTTCCTTTTAGGGTCTTTTTATGGGATCTGTAGGGGTTCCTTTATGGGCTAGGCGTGAAGATCGAGGGTCTAGCAGGATCTTGCAATGTCGTGCAGTCGCACGTGCATATCTTGGCATCGACTATCAACTTGCAGCAGGAGGAGGAGGAGGTGTAGCAGGAGTAGTAGGAGCAGCAGCAGCAGTAGTAGTAGTAGCAGCAGCAGTAGTGGAACAAGTAGAAAGGTATGCTGCAAGTTTCGCTAGGCCACTGGTGCAAGCCCGTCCGATAACTTTGGACAACTTCTCGTCCAGGGAGACTTTCGCAACGGGCGCTTGACTTCGTCCATCGGAATTTTTGCCTCGGCGGCCGCTGTCAGGGCTTCCTTGTTTCAAACTCCTCGTGACGAAGCTCGATCTTTCAGGTGGCAAAGCCTCGAAGCCAGGATCTGTTTTGGGGCTCCGACTTCTTGAGAGAATTTGGGGTGGGAAACCCCAAACCACGAATGCAAACCTCCAGTCGGATTTCCCCGAGGATTTTGGGGATTAGTCCGTCGGAATAAATCGCCTCCATGCACCGGATGCTAGGTATCAGGGCCTCCTGTGATGTCTTGGGCTTCGGGGTTCTCTGGTAGAACAACCTAACCTTCTCTCAGGGAAGTTCAATGGATGAGGTCGTCACATTTTCTGGCTCTTGCTACGACAACAACCAGTTGTATGCTTACTGTTATGGTTGATATGCTGATGGTGACGATGTTCATGAAAGTACTGGTGGCTGGTGATGACAGCTGCCACAATCGCTTGCTGGCAATCCAAATAACACCGTGATATCATTTCTGACGATCTTGATTTGTGTATTCACAACTTTCGTTAAAGGCCCGAAAGCCCTGATTAGGCCAGAAATCAGCACCCAAGCTGCGGCCGAACGCCAGGAAGTCGACGCAGGAATGCAGAAAGATGTTCGAAGGCACATCCTCGCTCTCCCACCACCACTGCTCGGACTCATCCTTGTACCCAAAAACAGCCCACAACGCCTTGGACAGTTCAAGGTTTTGGTGCTTCTGGTTGATTTTACTTCGATGTTAGATGAAGGCATTTGGTATAGATGAGGATTTGGGTCTAGTCGAAGGAGAACATGGGAGACGACAATGCAGAGTGAAGCAAGCTTGCGCAACGACATCGCAAAATGGATCTGACATATTTGTCTCGGGATGCCTACCGCTCGGCTGAGGACTTGGATTTTTCGGGATTTCTATACACAACCAGCTCTGAGTATCATGATGTTGGAAGAGGATGAACCGGAGCTGGAGGAGACTGGCAAGAACCGTGCCACAGGCCGTCAGGCCTCATGTATCAAAGGGACCAGAAACAGAAACTAGACTGATGACCATCAACATAGCGGTCACAACAGCGCCCTCCTTTCTTTATATCATCACCACCTTCGTCAAATGCAAGGCAGCGGTGCGAAGCTCTGGCAAAGATCATGACAATGCTGATGATGGGCCGTGGCAGCAACTAGTTGGTACAAGAAAACAGCACAATACCACACATGCTTGAAATTCTTGCTGCCAGATTCGCCAACATGAGGAATGCTGAACTACTTCCTCCCTGCCATGGCACGGCCAGGTCGAATTGCGCCAGAATGCGGATTCGGCCCGACGTCCTGTGTTGGCGCTGTGGGTTCAGGGAGCAGGGTCGACCCCAAATCCAGCCCCTTATACTGGTCAAAGGGTTGATAACACGGCCAAACTCGATGGCGACAACAATCTCCAACATGACTACCGTCGTGTTCATCAGGATCGTGAGTGCCATTATCATCATCTCATCGTCATCACCACCGTCCCGAAGCGCAAGCTGAGGCCCACCAGACAGCCTTACTTGTCTAGTTTACTACGGGGGACGCAAAACTTACCTTTGGGAGCATCTAATATCGAGACTTAAAGTGATCCCCAAAAGGCTGAAAGGCTACTTAGACTTACTCTACTACCCTAAAGGGTTTAGGGTTTAGGGGTTTAGGGACCCTAAACCCTAAACGCCAAGATCTCCTGTAGCTGGGCGTGGGTGCCTCTGGCTGGGCCAAAACAGGCACTGCTCGACTGGATGAGTCCAGCAGCCTCCGGTTTCCACTTACAACTTGCTTGGAGCTTTAGAGTTTAGGGTTTATATAGGGCTTATATAGGGTTTATATAGGGTTTATATAGGGTTTATATAGGGTTTATATAGGGTTGAGGGTTTATAACATGTTAGTAGTAAGTGCTTTGTGAGGGTGGCATCTAGGTGCTTAGAGTGTCTTTGTGATCCTGAAAGTCATGATGCTCTGTACGGTTTCATGGTGGCTTCATCCCGGTTATATATGGTCTTTGTATCACGGCCCAGGGTTGAGGATTCAGTTTCGGGTTCAGCGTAGCGAATGCTGCAGGTTCCAGCTCGAGAGGGTTCAAGTTCTTCGCGTTCGTTGTTGCTTAGGCTTTTGGATTTTGTGGCTCAGTCAGAAAATTGGGTGGCTGGCAGCTGAATTTCGGAATGAGATGTTGTGGGGTGCCTGGTTTCAAGGTTCAGGCAGGCCGGGGTTGCAGCCTGGGGAAACCGGAGCCGGCGAGCGATCGCCCCAAGGGTGTTGTGCTACTGTCTCCGTCACACTTCTACCCGAAACTTAAACCCTACACGGTAAGCTCTGGGCCTTGGGTTTAGGATTTAGGGTTTAGGGTGCACTACCCCTAAGCCCTAAACTCTAAACCCACAGATGTTCTCTGGCTTTTGTGGCCGTGGCTCTTTTGCATCACTTCCAGTGCCGGAGTGTCCTCGGTCGTGTCGAGCTCGAAATCGCTGAGCTCTTTGGGTAGAACACTCCTAGCAGGAGGGCTGGGTTCGGAGTTTAGGGCGTAGGTTTAAAGTTTATGGTTTACGGCTTGGGGTTGAAACTTCATGGTTTACTCACTGGCCCAAAACCCAGGGGAATAAAAGTTGAAACTTTCAGAATCGACTACCTTTTAAGAACCCGAAAAGTTGAAAAGTTGAGTTTACAGCCACTAAGTTTAGGGCTTGGAGTTTAGGGCCTCTTTCTCTGCCTTGAGGTTCATGGGCCTCTGTAGCTAGGGTAGAACACATCTTACTCGATGATGTAGGTGCAGCTGCCGTATACATATACATATACGTACATATATATATATATATATATATATATATATGTGTGTGTGTATGTGCATATGTATACACGGGTACTTGCCATGAGGCTCCAAGTATGAAAAGAATTGCAGAACAAGTCGGAGACAAGGTCGCAGATGCCCCCTAAACCCAATCGTTGCACCCTTGCAGTAACCTTGTTGTGACCCGGACCAAGACCAGGACCTGAACACCCCGCGATGATAGGGTTCACTACAAGGGTTCCTATCGAGGTGACTATAAGGGCTACTACAAGGTTACTACTGCTACAAAGGGCTACTATTCAACCCAAAGCCCACAGCTTGGAACCCTCAGCGCCCAAACTACTCTCTCTCACTCTCCAGAGTTCGATGCCAAGTGATGCGAAACTGACAACACACAACCTCAAGCTGCAGTAACTTCTACAAATACGATTATAGGTCCTTAATCACTCACTAGAATAAGGTTTTGGACAACAAACTAATCTATTTGTATAGAGATCATGCGGGGATAACACTACTAAATACTCACGCAACTTTTTGCTTCTCTTGCCACGATCAAATATTACTATGACCATGCCGATCAATGGACTGTTTACAAGGCTTGTAGGGCTACCATTCTTACCAACAACACGACCACAGTTCGCATCCCTAAGACCTGTGTTCTTACCATCATGCCACTATTTCGCTATCGGGCCCCAACCACAAACCCTAACTCCCTGAAAATCCCGAACCCTATACTGCCCACTTTTTGGCTATCGGGCCATCGGGTCCTCAAAGTCATGCTCTCCAGCATTTCCTTGGAGGACTTGGTGACGCAGCCCCCGCAGAGCTCCAGGATATCGTTGGCTGTCACGACCTTAGTATGGTTAGGGTTTAGGGTTTAGGATTGGGTCTAAGTCTAAGGCTTAGGGCTTAGAGATTTTGGATGATTTAGGGCGGGTCTGAAGTATTCCATTTGGCGGATTCTCGTTGGGGATCTAGGACCATCACGAGTCTCTGAACTTGTTCACCTGTGCAAGTGTCTTTGCAAAGTCTACCCAGACAAAGTGCAAGGAGAGAGACAAAGGGAGCGAGAGAGACAAACGGAGAAAGCCTTGCGCACCGGCTGGGAGTTTTGATGTCGCAGGCGCCTACTGTAAAGCTGTCGAAACTACCTGCGAGTTAGGGTTCAGGCTGTAGGGCGGCTTTCGTGTTCAGGGTTACAGGCTTGATCCAGGCTGTACGGCTGCACATACATCTGCGAAAGCCTTGCACACCTTGAGCGTTGAGGAGTTTGGTGTTTGGTATGAGGAACATCACGTGTCGTATCATGTGTAGGAACCAATCACAGTACAGTACCGAAACACATGTTGAAGAAGTGCTCCATCGTAGGGTGAGGCCTGACATCCTCATGATCATCATCGTCATCATCATCACCATCATCATCATCATAATCATCATCATCACCATCATCATCATATATATATATATGTATAAATATCACAATCGAACGAGTAAATCAACACACCTAACATTGGATGACACCGAAAGAAACATGTGCTGAATTCAGAAGCGCGTCAGCTCTAAGCTGTCCGGCAGCAAAGCACGGCACACGACGTTGCCTCTTGGTTCTTCGTGGGTCTACGGCTCGGGTTGGAGCTTCAGACTTTAAGGTGGGTTTGCTGTGGGCGTTTATTTACAAGCCCTTAAGCCCATGAGTTTAAAGACCCATGAAGAGCCCGTATCTAGCCCTCATCAAGCCCCACTTTGCAAATTACGTCTGCCTCTCGAGTCGATCCAGCAGCTCTCTGAGAGGCAGCGAGCTGTCAAAGGGCTCGAAGCACAGACCCGTCCCTCGAGGGGTCTTCACCTTGCTAGCTCGTTGCCCGGCTTCCCTTCAAGGAGTTCGGGTCTTTGAAAAGTTTGTAGGCTCTTAAAGGGGGTGCTTTGTGTTTAAATCTATGGGCGTTGGGTTTAAAGGACTTCAAAGGTTTGTGCCTCAGGGTTCGGAGTTGAGGATTTAGGGCTTCAGGCTGGATAGCTCTAGAAGAGCCAAGGACTTTTGGGATTAGGGTTTAGGGTTTTAGGGTTTAGGGTGTAGGGTTTGGGATTAGGGTTCAGGGTTTAGGGCGTAGGGTTTGGGACTATGGTTTAGGGTTTAGGGTCCAGGGGCTTGGCAAGCAGGTTAAGAGCTTCTTGGCCTCCCTGCAACCCACCTAGACCCCCAAAAGTAGGTAAAATAATGGCCCCAAACCTATAAAGGGCTATTATTCTACATACTTTTGGGGGTCCAGGTACTTCTTGATCTTTTCGGCAGGGCTTTGGGTTTTGGATCTCCGCTTGCCGACGAGGTCGTCAGCTTGAAAACGGATTTGAACCCTTCACCGAAAACCATACTCAAGCAACGGTATCACCATGTCACACACCGGCCAGATGTATATACGTATGTAAACACCTGTAGTATACATATATATATACATATATATATATACATATATATATATATATATATATATACATACGTGCATATATGTATGCATGTGTATATGTCCGATATATATATATATATACACACACACACATTCAAATCATGTAGTCCCATGTTTGAAGACTCAGCATGCCCTTGATGTAGTGACTCAAAGCATGGCCGTAATACAAGATGCCACACTTTAGTATTTTCATATTGTGAGGACCATGGGGACATTGCGATTGCTACTTATTCAGACCTTCGTGTTGGGAACTGACATAGACTGGACTATCCAAGCACTGGCAGCTGTACCGCTGTAGATTCGTCCGACTTAATTGGTCGCGGCTTCAAGTAGTGTTACCAGCTGTATGGTTGGGGCATGTTGCAGCGTAGCATAGCGTTTAAAGGTAAATCCCGCAAACAAGAACAAACCTTGTAGACATGCTAGCCGACGATCATAGCCCAGACACCAAAGATCGCACAGGCAAATTCGCGATCTTCCGAAGCAGTGACTTTGTAGCCTTCCACTCGACTTCCTCATCGGCATCGTCCCCGACAGCACCCCGACTCTTTGCCAAAGCACTCACCTTGGAAGGTCTTTCATCCGGGACTGAGGGTTTCCGCTTCAGGTCTGAAGGAAGTTTCTTAGTTGAGTCTCCAGGCCTCTCCATCCCCCTCTCCCTCTCCTGGACGCTGTCTCCAAACCCGCTCCCGTGCGGCATTCTTAAGATGCTAGGTCTTGCGCACACTAAGCACTACACACTAAACCCTCAACCGTGACATCCGAGCAGCAAGGAGGGAGTTGAAATCTGCACAGTCGAAAAACTCCAGCCGCCCATCTTCAAACTCCTGGTGTTTTGTTACCATAATAAAGAAACCATATTATTTACTGTAGATCCCAATTATGCCAATTATGGTAGCTTAAACGGGTGGTTGTCGAAATGTTGGTCCCCTTTTGGGTACCCTAAGTATTGGGTGCCGTTTTTCTTAGGGACCCACAAGGGGACCATAATTTTCACAACCACCCAAATAAACTTCCTTAACAAGGACCCAGACTCCACCACGCAGGCCCCGAGGCATCGCTGGTGCAGCTCGTGCACTACGACAGAGAGCATCTCCTCGCTGCTCACCTCAAACCGAGCTGTCAGGGTGTAGGGTTTAGGGTGTAGGGTTTAGGGTGCAGGGTTTAGGGATTAGGGATTAGGCATTGGGGTTTAGGGTGTAATGTTTAGGGTTTAAGGTGTAGGGATTAGGGTGTAGGGTTCAGGGTTTACGGTTTGCGTGAGCTGTCAGGGTGTAGGGCTTCTAGGCTTTACTTCCGAAGAAGCCTTTTTGAACCCTGAGAGGAATCGTGAAAGGAACTCGGGAAGGAACGCAGGACTGGGATCTTGTTAAGGAATCCAGTTTAACCTGGACCCCGAAAGTATGTAAAATGATAGCCGTTTATAGGTTTTGGGCCATTATTTTACCTACTTTTGGTGGTCTAGAAAGTTACCATCATAGGGATCTATAGTATATACTAAGGTTCCCTATTCTGGTAACCTAAACCTAAATCAAATTCCTTAACAAGAACCCAGGAGCAACCGAGGAATAAAAAGGATGCCCTTTTGGGCTTAACGGGGCTGGAAGCTGAACCCTTAAAAAGGGAATAAGGGCATACTCTACTGTTGATGATATAAATCCTGCATGGCCTTAAGGACCCTAGACTATGGGAATTATCGTAGAGCCCTTCTTTTGGGTAATGCAGGATCTTATATCATCAACTCTAGGTCCTAGACCCAGTGAAAGAAAGCTTGTCGGCCGAAGAAACCTTGAAGACCGACTCCGGCCGCATGATCAGCCGGGCATCAAAGAAGTGCTGCAGCGGACTGTCCTTATACGGCTAGTAAGCTTAGGAACCAGGGTTTAAAGCTTAAAGTTTAGGCAAACTCCTGCATTACTGGGTTTGTAGTCTTGGGCTCTGAAAAGTATTTATGAACATGTACCTCTATAGGAAGCATAAAGGGAAATTAAAAAGTTTCCCCATTTGCCACCTCGGTTACCTTAACTTTGAGTTTTAGGCCCTACTTGGAGGATCATGGGACTTAGTAAGTAAGGTTATAAGTACCTTAATTGGGGTTATAAGTAGTTGTAAGTATAGTTACCCTAATTACAACCCTAGTTACTAAGTCCCATGATCCTTGAAGTAGGGGCTTTAATAATTAGAATAGGGTTTGGGGGTATATCATACTAGAGGGAGAATAAGGAGCCCCCAACACCCTATTCTAATTGTTAAGGCCCTTCATTATCTGGGTCTCCAGGGTCTACCGTCAAGTGCTAACTCAAGGTCAGTTCCTGCCACTTTCCGACACACTTATCAGATGCACCCCGACTCTGAAAATGCTGCGCCCGTGTTTGAACAGAGTCGGGGCATATGCACAACATACCACACCAACCCAAACCATCTGGGCCTTAAAACGCCCCAGACCAGTTTCTACATTCTGTCCACCTTCGGCTACGTGTAAAGCACAGGCGGCCTCAGACCTACTCCTTCTGGCGGACCGGCTTCCTAAGAAGCACATTGCCACCGTCAAAATGCAGACCTGAATGATTGGACGAAGGATTCCTGGGGGGCTCTATTACAAGGAGACTGGGAATGCTAATGGGGGCACTAAGGAATACTCCTGAACATCCAGCCATGGACCCATTAACCCTGAACTGGGCACAAAAATCAAACCCCGCAGATTCCCTAAAGGCTCTTACAGGAATCCCTATAGAAGTCTTTAGCCCATACATAGATCTCTCCTTATAAGGAACCCTACAAGCCGAGAAACGATGGACAGCGGTCCACCAGGTTGCTCAGATGATTTCACTACTGGGCGCCTCAGCTGTGGGTCTGGGTCTGGTATAGAGGCCTCGATACTGCCAGTGGGGTTTGGGCGTATATTCTTATAGTATAGTTATCCGGACGTTAACGTCAGTGGGGTTTAAGGGTGGATTTATTTTTTTAGTATATAGTATAGTTATTCGGGCGTAAACCTTAGAGGCTTGGAGCTTAGAGGTTTCAAGGCTTAGGGATTTGGGGTTTACGCTTGAAGCCTAAAGACTATACAGGGTTGGAGGTTGTCAAAATTATGGTCCCTTTTTTAGGTCCCTACTATAATACGGCGCCTAATATTTGAGGTACCCAAAAAAGGGACCCTAATTTTGACAACTACCCACATGGTTGGCGGATTACCGGCCTTGCGGTTTTCTAGGGTTTAGGGGTTTAGGGGTTAAGGGGTTTAGGGGTTTGGGGGTTTAAGGTTTAGGGGTTTAAGGTTAAGGGGTTTAGGGGTTAAGGGATTTAAGGTTAAGGGGTTTAGGGGCTTAGGGGTTAAGGGGCTTAGGGGTTAAGGGGTTTAGGGGTTTGGGGGTTTAAGGTTTAGGGGTTTAGGGGTTAAGGGGTTTAGGGGTTAAGGGGTTTAGGGCTTTCAGGCAAACGCTCGCACCGATCATGTCCAAACATCGTAATCCGAAACCCCACTGAATGCTCTTGATTCCAGACTCGGGGCCCTACTTTGAGAGGTCATGGAGTTACTGAGGTGCACGATGATTATATGCACCCCCATCTGGGTACAACTGTATAACTACCCTAACTAAACTACGTGCTATATAGGTACAAAACTCTGAACCAGTGGTTTCAGCGTGCTTCAAAGGAAGCTTCGTGGAAAGGACCGAAAGGCCGAATGCTGGGGATCGACAGTTTTAGGCGCCTAGATACACCGTTTGACACGTGAAAGCTAGGGTTTAAGGTTTGCGGCACTGGGGTTCCAGAGTTTAATTTGGGAACCTGATTAAGAAACCTTGGGCCTTTATAGGGCTCCTTGTATGAATCCTACTATTTTTTGGTGTTAGAGGCCCAGGGTTTCCTAATCAGGTTCCTACATTACTGGGGTTTCGAGTTTACGGCCCGGTGCCGGAAATGCTATGAGCATCTTAAGGCTTGCTGGAATGGACACGGCATCGAAACCCAAAGGCTCCATGTAACCATATAGTAGATACTTAGGCCTTAAAGTACCTATATATGGACCCCTTTAAGGCCTAAGCACCTATTATATGGGCACATGGAGTCTTAGGGAAAGGGAGCAGGGCTGATGCTCCAACAAGCTGTCTTCCTTGCCATCTGCGCGAGAAGCTTGCATTGATTTTACGCATTGGTGCTGGGTCCAGAGCTTCATGCAGCTCACTCCGTTGCTTTAAATTTCGGAGCTATCACCCGGCGAATGCGCTCGAGGTAGGCCCACTCCTGCAAGCTTGGCCCGTCTAGGCTTGAGGCAATGTAGTTTAGAGTTTAGACGTCATATTTCCGGGTTTCAGGACTTTAGAATAGACTCGGATGGACGCAAACAGCTTGTGGCTTAATTTGCCCCCCATCTTGGATTTCATTCATGGCCCCACGACAGAGCCGCGCAAACAGCACAGGATACACTGCATCTGTCTCCAAGATAATCCCGCAAAATTCCAAGCAGGACTGTTGCAAGATGCAGAGAACAACAGCGCAATATAATATTGCATGCCATAGCGAAACTCAACAAGATCATAGCATCTGACATCTGCACGTCCGCAGATGCAAATACAGTCCATCGTACACATCTGCCTCAAGGTGCAAATTGCTGAAGTGTAGTTCCATGTCGTTCCCCAATGTTCAACACAATTCTGAAAGCAGACCGAGTCCACTTGTCTGGCCAGTTCTTACCACACCCACCCACCACATCCCCGTGCATATCTCAGACATATGGTCCTTTTCTGTAAAGCCCCTGTGCCAGGGATTCATCCTATTAGGTTTCTGCGGCTTCTTTCCAATGGGTTCCGTATCGTGATTCCAATCGCACCGTGTACTACACCATTCCATCATAAAGGCATTTGTTTCAGCAGGTGCGGCTGGATAGCTAAGCATGGTGTAGTACTACTACACTCATATGTAGCAGAGAACAGATCCATGCAAAAAGATATCATATCATATTCGGCGATAGGCTAAACCATGAGGCATGAGGAACTGGAACGGGATCTTGACAAGACAGAGACATGACAAAGTAAAGGCACCGATGTGTCTGTGTGTATAACATACACAGATTTATTTGTGGCTGTGTTGATAACCATTCCATGCATTTATACAAATGTACAAGGTGCATATAGAGAGAGATAGATAACTAGTTTCCTACACTTCCGAAGCACTCACACCTTTTTAGCAGCGCGCGACGAACGAAGTCGTCCTTGCAGCTTCGCTGCGGGGGTGGGCGGGTGTGGTACCCTTGAGCCCGTGCTACGGGTAACAGGAAACTCTACGCCTACACGGCTATACAAGGCTACCAAGTTTCCTACACTTCCGAAGCACTCACACCTTTTTAGCAGCGCGCGGCGAACGAAGTCGTCCTTGCAGCTTCGCTGCACCACCCCCCACTGCAAAGGAGAAAAAGCCCCCCCCAAGGGGGAAGCCCGGGCGAGGAACTCGCCTCGGGAGGGAGGTCCGTAAAAGGAACCTTAACGAAAGAAAACGGAGAGGCCGAAAACGAGCGCACAAAATGAGACCCAGACCCCCGCGAGCCGGGCGCGAAACGCGCCGCGGCCGTAGCCGAGATACACAAAGTGCCTGGCTAGCTGGGGGTTAGGTCTGCTAGCGCCATACTCTCAGCGACCCCTCGCGCAGATTCACGCGACTCCCAGAGGTAGGATTGGTAGGCGTTCGACGTCCACCTTCCGTACCTCTTGATGAGTTCAGCATTCTGGTATCTAGACCAGAGAGCGCTCGCGCCCCCAAAGCGCAAGGAGTGCACCTTAATGAGCGCAGGAGCTTCGCCCACATGTTCAGCACATTGTTGCAGCACTAGCTGCAAAATTGCCTAGTG